ACGCTTCGGGGGGTTGTGCACGGGGGGCTGCGTGGTGCGTCCTCGCTGTGAAACCTGGGGGTAAGGGTGGGCCTGTCCCCAGGGTCTTAACGGCCGTGGGTGCCAGGGAGGGACCCACCCGCTCTCGGGGGGCGCTACTTAAAGTTCTGTTAGTAGAGGAATTGAATTTCGGTGGAGGTTTGTGTAACGTTACTGCGAAGTGTAGTTAGAGCCCTTTTCCTCGGCGAGGGCAAGGCCCCCCCTCAGCTGAGGAGACGACTCTTGGGTAAAAACCCCAAGTTTTATTAATCCTGCTCTAGCTTTTTTTCAGTTCTTGCCTGCTGCCGGTGTTCCTGCAGCCAGGAGCGTGTTTTCGCGGGACAGCTCGTTGTCGCAACGTTTCACGCGCGCATCCCCCGAGCCCGTTGTCAGCGTGGGGTGACCCCGCTACTGGCCTGGGTTAAAGGTGTCCATGGTGCCAGTGGCCGTGGAAAGCCCGGGGCCTGTTTTGGTGGGGGCTTATTGACCCTGAGCTGCTGAGGGTCAGGAGGTAAGGAAGGGGGTGAGTGTCAAAGGAAAACAAAGCTTCAAAACCTCCGGGCAAGTGGAATCTTTGAGTAATTTGTTCGTGTTTTAGAAAATTACGCTTCAGTTTTCTTCTGAAATAGAACGTGGTGTTTGACAGTTCTCACTGTGCTGCCTTGGAAAAAGCAGTGGTGTGAATAGGGGGAGCTGTGAATGAAGAAGGGGTTTATGAATTGCAGATACGGTTGAGAGTAGCAAGACTGAACAACGGAAGATGGCACGGACCCTTCGTACCTGCCCTTCAGCGAGATTTGCTCTGGGGTGGAGTGATGTGGCTGCAAATAGTTGCTAGAAACAGAGGAATGTAGCTGAGCTGGGTGTGTAGAGTTCGAGGAGGGGGGAAACCTTACCTTAGGAGGGTAAAGGAATAGGTAGGATTTTTTTAAGGCATCTTAGCATGGGGTGTAGCGTAAGAGAGAGCCAGGCGTGAAGTCTGGGGCAGTGGACATTCTTGGGAGCTGCATGCAGTCGTGCTGAAGCACAAAGGTTGGGCTTTAAGGTGTTTTGTGCTGCTGGCAGACACCAAGCAGCCCTGGCACGGCAGAGGTGATGTGCTGGGGGGTGTACGTGGCATGGGTGTGTGGGAGCAGGGGTTAGGAGGGGCTGTGATCTGGGCTGGGATGCAGCGGTCCCCTGCGTCCTGCAGAAGGGTCCTGGTGCGTGGCAGGTAGCGTGCTCTTGCAGGAGGCAGCTCTAGGCTCGGGGGGCTCTGATAGTTTTTCAAATTGGCTTTTTCCTTCTTACACCAGAATCATTTTATTTAAAGTCGTGTTAATGTGCGTAAGGAGGTCTGAAGGGGCTTGTGTGTGTGAGTGGCAAGTCCCTTAATGCCACAGAAATGTGATGTATGGCTGGATTTACTGCAATCCCAAGTAGTTTCCCCAAACATCATTTTAGTTCCTCTTGAATGTGAGGGTTGGGTACTGACTTGCCCTCCTGTGTCTGTCTCCAGGAGCGCTGGGATGGCTGCAGAGCTGTGGTGGGTGGCTACGGCTGCTCCAAGTCTAGATTTGGTCCAGGAGAGGGTGGGGAGCACTGGGACAGGTTCCCAGAGAAGCTGTGGATGCCCCATCCCTGGGACTGTCCAAGGCCAGGCGGGATGAGGTTTGGAGCCCCCTGGGCTGTGGAAGGTGTCCTTGCCCGTGGCAGGGGGTGGGGCTGGGGGGGCTTTGAGGTCCCTTCCCACCCAAACCATTCCATGATTTGGCTCTTCCCAGAAGGTGGTGTGGGGTTTTGGGAAGAACTGATGACATGGATGGGCAGGTTGATGCCGGGACTTCTCTGGGTGGCCGAGTGCTTCCTTTTGGTGAGGAGGGTGTAAAAGGAGCCGGAACTGGGGAGCTGGAGAGGAGCTCCCAGACCTGGGCAGAGGTTAAGGTGTGCTGAGACTTAGGTGAACTGTTGGTGACCAGATGGACCATACTCGATAGGAGTTTGTTATCCTGGATGTTGAGCCTCCTGGAAAACCTAAATGGAGTTTAAAAAGCGCCAACGTGGTAAAAGTGAAGTCTGTCACTCGCAAAGAAGCGTTACCCTGCGGAATCAACGGTGCTGTGTACGTATTCGTGGTGTTGGCCGGGTCTTACGATTTCCTGACCCCGGGTCCTGCTGCTGCGGGTTCGCTGAGGCTGCCGACGGTGAGGTTTTGTCAGGATAGCGTTGGCACTTGTGGTGCTGGAGCTGGCCGGTCTCGGTCCCGGTGCAGAGAAGGGCTGCGGCGTTCTGGAGCAGGACAAAGGGCCTGTCCTGGGTCTGTTTTGGTTGGTTTTGTTGGGAAAAGCTGGAATGTTTGTGTTTACTTGGAGAAGAGCTCGGAGAGAGGTAGCGCTACCCAGTGGATCTACAGATCCACAGGGATTTTAACACCAATTGAGATGGGTGTTGTAAAGGTAAACTGGGCCCTGTCTAAACGGGGTGAAACTCCCCTGAAGCAGGATTTAAACCCAGCAATTCTTAGGAAGTTGAGAAACTCCCGGTGCAGCCCCATGAGGAGGAATGGGAAGCAGATGGAAGGTGTTTCGTGGGGCAGGGCGCATCCCCTGGGCGCATTTAAAGCAGCGGGCAAGTGGGATTTAACAGCAAATCCATCCCGGGAGCAGCGCGGAACCAGCTGCAGCACGGCACGAC